TTTTTTTGACTTTACAGTGGTTTAAATTGTAGAAACTGCTTTATCTGTGCTTTGATAGTCTGGTCAGCAGATATTTTACTAGTTTTTTTTTTCATGATGTAGCCTACACTGTTTTGCATCAAATTTGCTTAGCATATATTAACAAACAACGGCTGGTGACCTTCATTCAATATATGAGTTTTCTGAAATGAACTTTTTGTAAGGAAAAGTGGGAGCTATGCCACAAGATAACTCACTTTTCAGTCTGTGGTGGGGAATAAACCAGACTTTCACACTTCCTTATTGCTTGGGTTTGGATGCAGTACTAGTGTACCACCTCGTGCTCCAAATACAAGAGTCTCTGGCTGTAGTATTTACAAAGGCCTGGATTTTCAGTCTATTTCTGTGATCTAACCCTGATCTGCAATGCATACATCTCCAGAATGCTGGCAGGGTTTTGAGAGCAGCTGTTCAGCCAACTCCTCCCATATAAGTAACTGTGAAAGGTTCTGTATAGCTTTTATGATGAAAAGTATGTCTTATAATAAAGAATCAGTAAGAATTTGGAAATGCCAGGGGAAAACAATAAAAGGACTTGTTGGAACATCTATGGTTTTTGTTATGTCGAGCTACTCTGTTTCACAATACATAAATGTATTATTACCTTTGGGTGAAAAATTCAGGAGGTTAAATACTTCACAGAGGTTTTGGCTCCTAATCAGTGGGCATTCTGCAGCACATAGTTGCCAAACGTTGCATTGCTGGAGACCCTGCTTCTTAAGATACATTTATTTTAAAAGTTAGTTCTCACTAGCTAGAAAATATGAGTAAGAAAGTTCAGCATTATTTAACAGGCGTTAGAAAATCCTAGTCATTATTTTCTCATACACCTAATAAAAGTTCCTAAGCAAGTCAAATCTCACCTGGGATCATTGCTTGCTAGGTTCAAGCTCCTTATAAAAGAAATCTTTCAAAAGGCAAACTAGGTTTCTCAGTAGCTGGATCACCTCCACTTAATATAAATACAGTGTATGAGGCAGGATTTCATACTGCTTAAACAAATAATAAAAGAAAAAGCAGAATCTTATATCCAGTAGAAACTAAATGAAGCAAGGACAGGACCTGCTTTAACACTGGCCACTTTATATTTTCTGATCTTCTGACTTGACCCTTGCCAGTCATGCCTAGAGCTTATCAAGTCATGAAAGGCAATTGTCCCTATAGCTGAAAGAGATGGGGATGGGAGTGTGGGAGCAGGAAACAATTTTCAGCTGCTTGGAGCATGACTTTGGCAATGTAAGGGAATATATAATGGTAGGTGATGCCTCTCGGGGAGATACATTTTCCATCATGCTCAGAGTGGCAGCGGGGGGAGGGTTCCTGCTGCCACAGGACAGCAGGAACAGGGACCTGGTTCCAGCACTGGACTGAATGAGAATGAGTATGAAAATATGAGCTTTAGTAACATAGATGGCTGGGGATGTCTTGGTCAGCTCAAACAAGAGCCAGACCATCTGCATTACCATATCCCATTGAACAACTACTATTGAGAGCAGTGTGAAATATCACATTAAGTAAATCATAGTGAAAACTCATCCATCCCAAGAAAGCTGTGTTTCCGCAGGGCAGGATATCCTAGGCACCCCTTTTTTCGCTCAGGCAGTCTGTGTTTGCCATAGGTCTGAACTACCAGAAAGTCAACTAGTCACCCAGTATTTTTATAAGGAATTTGGGGGGAAACACTCCCACCGTGGTTCCAGACCCGACAGGGGGGCAGTACTCTGCCTTGGCTGTGCTCCAGGAGGCTGAGTCCTTTACCAGGTGTGGGCAATTAGTGCTGCTGGCAGCCCTTCCTCTTAGAGCAAGTCAGGTGGGCAGGTAGTGCTGGGGGATCTGGCTACCTTTCCAGAAAAGCTGCAGGAAATGGTAACTGTCTTGAAAATAATCACCAACCCATAACAGGGTCTTGTGTTTCTAACAGGTTTAATGTGGAAGTCTCTGGGAGCACAAGGACAATGTATCTTGAGCTGTAAGTTTTGACTCTCCGCTTTGTGTTGCCATTTGCATCTCCTGAGCTTTGTAGGAGAAAGAGAGGTGAGCGGGATCTCAGATCTGCAATCTTACCCCTCACTAATTTTGGCTGACCACTAGCAAATATTGAATGAGGCAGGCAGGCTCACCAACTAGCCTCAGAGGTTTGCTGGCAACTTCTAGCAAGCTGAGTTATAGTCACTCTTAAAAATGAATTATTCTTCTTAAACACTTAAACTCCTCTCTTTTCTCCACTTACTGTCTGTTGAAAGTCTCCTTTTCTAGTGTAGAATATTGAATACATTGGTAGTCATTGTTAGCTACATTTTAAGATGTAGCTAACACTGATGCCAAAATGTTCTGGTGTCTTGCTGACTTTAAATAATGTTTTTCTTCAGAAGCTAAATGACTGCCTGAGAATAAACAACCTTAAAGTATTAACATTTGTTTTTATATTTGGATAATGTTACCCTTTTGTAGTTTCCCACAAATGCTTATTGAGTTGTACCTATCACTACCATTGGGGGGTAATTTTTGTTCTGACTCCACACTCCTTTTATTTAAACTTATTTTCTGTGCCTTATGTGGAATGAGCAAAGCAAAATCTTTAATATTTACATGCATATCTCTGTTCACATAAGTATGCTCATTTTGATGATGTTCCTTCCCCATATAGATCATGAGGGCTAGGATACCACATTCAGGGACACTATCTAGGAAACAGTTTGGCTTTTTTTCTTATAGTTCTTTTGCTATTAGGATTACAGCTGCAGATTGAAACAAAAATGAAATTGGCTATGGTGTAATATATATAAGCCTGGATAATATCTCCAACTATACATTATGTGGGGGTTTTTTGAAGAACTTGCTCGTCAGGATGTGCTGTATGAAAACTTGATGGAAATAGTGCAGCTCCATGATTAAAACCATCATAAATTTCCAGTTTGTAATTAAAAAATGAAGATAGGTCTTTTACCAGACTTTTATAACCCCGGCTTTGTCAATGGCTTTATTTTACAACATAATTTGCAGTGTAATTACTGCTCATGAATTATCATTAGTTGTAGTGTAAGTGTGTAAAGACTGCAAGGGAAGTTTACAGAGAAGGAAGGAAAGGGAGTGTTTCAGAGTATTGCCCTAGTTCTACATTTCCCTTACACATGTAGCCCACAGTATCTTTATAATACTCCTGCACTATGTTAATTTCTGGCAGATGTTAGTGGGAAGTGAGCTTTAAAATGGGGTTGGAAGCTGCAAGTACTCCAGTTGTAATCAAGGGTTAGATCCTTGTCAGTTCTAGTCAGTGAAAATACCCATCAAGGTATTATTCTACTATTATAATTCTCTCAAACTGTTCCTTAAGTAATTCTTACAGTGTATCTTCAGTTGGACTGAAATTACATGAACTTCCAAAAGCCTTTTGCAAATAGGTAATAATGCTGCAGAAGGGAAAATACTAGGTCTTGATAGGATATTTATGAATGCTGAGTGTTTAAAGTGGAGAAAAAAAAGCAGATGTTTGATTTCATTAGATAAGGGAAAACTAAAAAAAAAAAAAAGACCAAATTATCCCACCAAGTATACAAAGTCATCTGATTCACATAAAACGCTCAAGTTCTTGCAGGCAAAATGTTTTTGGTACCTGAGCCACAGCCCCCTCAGGACAGGACTTGAATCAGAGTGACCAAGAGGCACAAGGAAAAAATTATGATAGTTCAAACTAATTTATTTTCATGTCTTAGTAACAGTGCTATTCTTTCTAAACAGAAAAAAGAACATTATTTAACAATGACTACAGCCCAGATTTGTAAAGGTATTTAGAAACCTTTGAAAAATAATAGTATGTGTCTGGGAGGGGGGAAGGGATGTGCCTGCATAGTTTTTAAAATGTGAATTATATTTCTCTTCTTCTTCTTTAATATGTATAAAGGCAGACGAGAACAGTGAAATCTCTGGAACAAATGAAACCAAAAGTAAGAATTAGATAAAACAATAGAATGTATTTCCCTGGAAAGATATGGTTTTAAGCAATCTCTGATGAAAGGGAAATTGCAAGTAAGGAATTTTGAAGATGTGAGCAATATGTAAAGTTTTATACAGAAAGTGAAGCTAATAGGCTGGGAGTTTTAGAGATGGTAAATCATAAATAGAAAATCTATCTAACTACTTCTTGGTTGGTGTTGAACCAAGGTACTGAACTGCTTAACTGATCCAACTTGGCAATTTGGCATTCTTATGCCCTTTTCTTTCTATTCCAGTTATTTTAAATCTGAATTTTAAAAGTGAAAGGGAATACCTGTCTGAAAGTTCAGGAAATGTATGTATAAATATTGATGCTTATACATCTAAACCAAAAATGAAGTTGAAGCAGCAATTGATTAAAACTGTTGCACAAACTTCCAAAGTAGTTAGCAAGTGTCCATATCTAAATCAATTATTAAATATATAGGGTGAAATAGAGGAATACTTCATTGTATCTTTTTCCTTAGGAGTATTCGATACTACTATTTTTCTTGTTTGTTTTATCTTGTTTCATGCCAGATGTTCTTATGGGGGAAAACAATGGTGATGTGTTTTAATATTGATGAGTTGATTCTCCCGGGAATAATAGTATATCTACCTTCTCAGAATACAAATTGTGGGAGGCTTTTTATAGTGTAATTACCATATTGCAACTCTTTAAAACTGTGGAAAGAACTTTCTGTTTATTATCTCTCTTTTATATACTTTAAAAGGGGAATGACGCTTCTTATAAAATTATGTATCGTGTTTTGGTGGCCTTTAAAAAGCAAGCATACAAATGCTTGGGGTACATCAAGGGGTACTGTGTGTTCTGTCAAAGCAGCATATGCTTAAGCACCTTCTAAACTACTATCATCTTAATAATAATAATATTTCTCTTTCCAAGTTTGTTAGTTTATTCACTTAAACAATTGCAGAGCAGTTGAAGAGTAATTAAAGTATCTTTTTTTTTTCCTTCTTCCCTTCAGGAACTTGAACACTGAAGTCCTGAAATTATAAATGATTTGGTGACGAGTTGAGCTTGCAATGCAGGCAATAAGAACCGTGGAAAAAGAAGTAACTTTTGTAAAGGAAATACTTTTCACAGAATCCTTCCTAACGAAACAAGAATGCAGCAGAAACCCGGAGAGCAGGCGGCTCCGAGAGCAGCAGCCATTGGAAGGAGCTGTCTGCAGCTCTCAGTGCTGTACTGAGCATGTCCCAGCGGAGCCCAGTGCAAGCAGCACATTATGCAAAAAGGCAGCTCTAGCAGATGGGAGAGAGGCACAGCAAGCATTTGCTTCACTTGCATCACCACCGCTTGAAAACAAACCTGGATCGCTAGAGGGGATCTCGCCAGCAGGCCGAAGGAATGAAATCCGGGAGGATGGCTTGATAGCCGAAGGTGTTGCACTGCGAAAAATCATGGGGAATCAAGATGGGAAGCTAAAGAAAAATACAGGTGATGTGCAAGAAGGAGGAGAAGATGCCTCTGGGCCCAAGGATACGGATGGCACAAAGAAGGCATTGGGAGGCAGAAGGGGACTGGGGAAGCATTCAAAAGGAAGTGAATCCGGTAAGAAGAAGGGTAAGTCGGAATCCAGGCCCTCTGTGTTTTCAAATCTGAGGATCAGAAAAAATCTGTCTAAGGCTAAAGATGGAAATAGCAGTTCACGGGAGGATGTTTTGGAAAGCCAGGCCTTGCAGCCAGGAGAGCTGGACAGTACTCATTCAATTATAACCAAAACTCCAGATATAAGCATCTCTGCAGATGAAGGGGGTCTCTCAGACACAGATGTTGAACATTTTGAAATCAGAAATGAAACTGTTCCAGCTGCTGCAGAGACACAGGACGGACAAAGGACCAGCTCTGGCTCTGATACGGATATATACAGTTTCCATTCAGCTGCAGAACAAGAGGATTTGCTTTCTGATATCCAGCAAGCTATTAGACTGCAGCAGCAGCAGCAGGGGGCAATTAACATTGGAACCGAGGACCTTGTCACAAAAACAATGGGCCGACACATGGCTAATTCTCAAGCAGCCCCCTTAGATTTTGAACGGTTTTTTTCAGTAGCTACCCCTGACAAAGAGAGGAGCCCAGACGCTGAGGGAGCTTTTCCAGCGGTATCTGAAATTCCTGTCTCCTGTGCAACTGAACGTGAACCAAAAGAAGCAGTAAATGGCACAGGCTCTCCTGGTAACGGCTTAATTGAAACACAGGAACGTAAGCTATTGATTGAGGAACAGCTCGTTGCTGGAGTGGATGCTGTCGCTAGTGAACTAGAAGATGCTTTGAATAGAACTGCGGTGGAAAACAGGTCTCAGACACAAAGCTTTACACAACCTTTTCCAACCTCAGTAGCAGACACTGAGGCTAAAATTGCTGAAGTTCAGGCTGTTGATTTTCAGGGCTCAGTAACAGAGGATGGTATTTCAGATGCAGGCCACGATCATGCTGCTGAGACTCAGGAAGAGAAACACACTCTCTCAGCCAGTCAGGAGGAGGTGCGTAATGGTTTATCCACGGAAATGAAAAATGGCATTTTGTCCTCTGAAGAAACAGCAGACAGTTCGATGCTTGGTTCCCGATGTTTTAAGCCCTATCTAATTAATCCCTGTTACATCAAAACCACAACTAGGCAACTGAGTTCTCCCAATCATTCACCTTCTCCCTCCCCGTCCCAGAGCCCACTTTCTACAAGGAGGCAGGAGTCTTTCCAAAAAAAAGAAAGAGTCTCAATCAAGAAGCAGAGGTCTGCTAGTTTGGCAGGTTTTTTCAGTCGTTCCGCAGACTGGACAGAAGAGGTGTCTAATCACAAATACAAGATAACAGAGAAGGTGGGCTCTGCAGACTACTTGGAGCACAAGGGGTTTAGAGAGAAATTTCAAACAGAAAGAGTGCCTTTGACTCATTCAAGGAAGTCCTCAGGGGTGCAAGCTTCTACAGAGACATTCCCCAATGTCTTTTCAGGTGAGTAATGTGTATTAACGGCCTTTTTTTTTTCCAGAGACCCTCTGAAAATATTTTTAAAATACTTTAATTTATGCAAAGGTATGCAATATTTTACTTAATGCAAAGGTACTTTGCATGTACCTTTACTTGTGCTGACAGCTTTAAAATCCAAGACCCGATCTTACAAACACAGTCACATTTCATCAGTCTGGCAGTACTGCCAGTAAAGGAAGTGTATAACTCTTTGAAGTTTTTCTTTCTGCTTTTCTCCTTTGTCTACATCCTGCAGGAAAAGGCTAGATGCCTTAAATTATTCTTGGTTAAAAAGTCCTAAGAGCTGCATTGTTGTAGGCAGATCATCTATCTGCATAAATACATCTTTCAAATGTGAAGCTTTCTGTAACCAGGATCCTTTTTGGGCTTTTCTTGTGCTAGGCACTGTTCTGATGTACTGTAAATATTTGAGAGCTGCACCTGGTGTTAGACTGAGGCAGTGATGAGGATTTGCTTAGTGCAAAATGGAAAAAGCCATGCAAGCACAGATGGACAGCACTCCAGAAGGGAATGAATTTCCCCTTCAGAAGGGGGAAGGAAGAGAAGAAAAAAATGTTCATGTATTGAAAGGCAGAATAAAAGGGAAAGAGAAGGGAAACTGGGGGGTGGTACAATTTGATAGCTGTGACAGGCTGCTGCTTAGGCTACATAAGGTGACTTATTCAGTATTCTTTACCTTGCCTGTTAGGCAGCTTGCATCCTGTCACAAAGTAATGGGACTAGAGAGTTTAGAAATTAAACAGTGTAAGTAGGTGGTTATATTTTCCTGCACTCTGAGGTTTTTTTTCCCCTCTCTTCACCCCATCTGAAGTCTCTTTATAAAGGTAATGTCTTCATAAATAGGAAGGTCTCTGCCACATAGGAGCTATGTGTACAGAGGAAACTCAACCACATATTCCATTTATTTTTCACTTAAGAAAACTACAGAACTAAGAGAATCCAGAGAACATGCTCTAAGACCACCTGTTAGAAGATTAAACCAGGTTTGTTTCAAGTCAGTTCTAGATACATGAGCACGGTAACTACACTTGAACCCAAGCTATTTGCAAAAAATGGAGTGAGAATTTTTTTAATGAAAATATTTTTTATGAAAACTAAACAAAAAAGTACAACTTATTAAGTAAAGCATTAACATTATTTTCCAGAGTCAAATCACAGGAAATCAAATCACATTTTTCATTCTTCAGTAGTCTTGAACAGAAATCCTCAATTTCAGTCTCGAAAATTTGAATTCAATTTTTTTAACACAGAAAGAGCCAGTCCCCTCTGAAGGAGACCAGGCCCCGGTGAAGCGAGCTGAATCTTTTTTCTATATGTTTTAAATCCCTTTAACCTGTTCTCTTAGATTTAATTTCAGACATCCTACTTAAATTTTCTCAGTTAAGGTGTTCACTACTTTCAAATTTATAGCATATAAAAATCACACTACTTTTTTTTAGCTATTGACATTTGACAGCTTATAAACAACTCAGAGAGCAAAGCTTTAACTGCATTATCAGTAATTAGACTTCTTTATGGTGGTGTTATAATGGAAATAAGTTTTATGTGGCAAACTTCAAGAACATGGTATTTCCTTTAAAATACTTGTTTTCTGGGAAGCAGACCTTTTCACATTTCCTCATAAGGTTTTGGTTTACTTAAAAATTATTTTTGGTTTGGTGTTGTTTTTTGTTTTGTTTTGTTTTGTTTTTTTTCCCACCAAAACTTTAGACTGTTATTATGAAGAGACCAATGTCTAATGCGACAGTAGTTCTATCTCTTATGGAAATTACAGTGACCCTCATTTGCATGTACATACCAGCTGCCTTTACAAGCAAAGGGCAATTACAACTTTCAGTTCACGCAGAAAACTTATAATGAGGGAACTGGAAATGATATGATACAACTTTATCTCTTTTTGACCACTCTTACTTTTAAAAAACATATTTATAAGCTAAAAGTTATCAAGAATATAAAATAACAACAAAAGGGAAATTAATCTTGACATTAGTATCCCCATAAACTGTCTATCATGGCTGTAAGAGAGAAAAACCTCTTAAATAAACCATTCTGCACAGCAACAATTGCAGAAATAATTTCCTTGTAGTTTGATACTACTTGTGAAAAATGTTGTATTTTAATTGCATGCATGACATGCATTGATTTGGAGATTAACATCAGGGTTTTAGAAATACCATTCTTTATAGTAGGATATTTCTAGCTTTAAAAAAAAAAAAAAGCCAAACCCAAGCAGCTTCTTGCCTACAGCATTAAATCCCATTTTGCTGTGCAGTGACTGCAGTGTTGTTCTGCATTTCTAAAGAATCAAGTAAAATATTCCATAACACTTTAGTCATCGATTTCAATGACAGCAGGTTCTATGCAGATGACTGGCCTACTTTTGCACTATGTTGTGGTTTGGCTGAGTGCCATTTGGTTTTCATAGTGATCCATATGAACTCTTTCAGACTGCTTTAATATAAAATGTAGATGGAAGCCAAGGACTGGAATAGTAGAGACTTTTTATATTTTAATTCTTCTTTATGTATGAAGACAAGTAACTACTTCAAATTTGATGCATTTTAGGTATGTGTTGTAGGCAAATTCATGTGCATTTTGTAATTCAGGCATTGGATCTGTTTCTTTTTTGATGAGGACAGCTCTATTCGAATTTGCAGTGACAGTAATTACAAGTTCTAGATTACCCGATGCACAGTGAAGCCATGACTTTTATGTTGTAGTCCCAGGAGGACAAGTGCTCAACATGAGTGAGTAGGATTGATTCTGTCACTTTGCTGTGGAGCAATGAATGATTTGCACTAACATTAAGAAAGTAATGCTGGGAAAATGAAATTGATGTTTCCAAACATTAACATGGAAAAGCTAATAGATTGATTTATTAAAGAGGAGTTTATTCTAGCATTAATTTGAGGTGCAGTGATTGCAGAGGAGCTAGTGGGTGTCTGTTACCCAAATTGAATGAAAGAGTCCCATCAGTTGCCCCAGAACGGTAATTAAACTTGACCCAGACAATCCCATGCCCATTCTAGTCTCTGTTGGCTGGCTGTAACGGACTTGCCACATGAAGCTCTTCCAAACAGATCATTTATCTTTAAATTTCTCTTCAGAGATCTGTATTTTTTCTTCTCTAGCTGTAAACAGGAGACAAACAAAAAGTCCTGGTTATCATTACACAAAACTTTAAGTCAGTTCTGTGCTTGTATACTCAAGCCTGCTTTCTGATTTCCACAGAGGGTCAGCCTACTTCTCACAAAGGCCACTCCGTCTCACTTCTGTACTGTGCTAATGTCATCTGCACCCACTTGCAGTTCCAGTGCCGTGTCTGCAGGCATATGCAAAGGTCTTAGTACAGATTAGTATGTGAAAACTTGAAAAAGTCAGATGAAAGTTTGCTTCTTAGACATAAAGTAGATCTTTTTAGATACTTTTTCAAAGATTTTTTTCTTTCTAATTCATGTGATATGAATATGGATTTGTGTCAGTTGGCATCCTGACTAGATTCTTTATCATGCAACTGTTATTAAAGATTACTTATGGTTTGTTGTTTCACTGATGGTGTTTGTCAACAGTAATGCAAATGATTCTTTTATCAGATGGGGCAGTGCAGCCTCCTAACTAAGGGAGCTGCCCAACAGCAACCCTACATAGAATCATAGAATCAGCCAGGTTGGAAAGTACCTCTGAGATCAAGTCCAACCCTTGATCCGCTACCACCATGGTTACTAGACCATGGCACTAAGTGCCACATTCAATTTCGTCTTGAAAACCTCCAGGGATGGAGAATCCACCACTTCCCTGGGCAGCCCATTCCAATGCCTGATTATCCTCTCTGTAAAGAATTTCTTCCTAATATAGAATTTCTTCCTGATATGAATGTGGTATGCAAAAACACTAGTGTTGCTAGTAAGCATCTGAAGGGAAAGATCCTCATCTTTTTGCCTAGTAGACGCAAAACTGGGAGTTGGGGGAAGGACTGCAATACTGCACTTCAACTGTAGTAAAATGTGTTTGAAAATGGGCTCCAATGTGCTATTCAAAGACTGCTGAGTGCTGATAAATTGCTTTAATGTTGCCATAACACCACAACATGGGATTTGGAGCAACATGAGTAATTTCACTGGAATTCAGTGCTGCCACAGGCTTGTTTTGATGGGTCGCATGATTAATGCTTTGATCTTTATCTAGAACTTTATTGGGATTAGCAGTTTTTGGTCATGGGTTTGGGTGTCTCTATCTCTTGGGCAACCAGTTTCTGAGCAGCAACCTCATTCTGACATCTGACCGGCAGTGTGACTTGTATCTGGAGTAGAAATGTGTCATCTTGGTTGCCTTCTGGTCTCTTTTGGGGTGCAAAGGGGGAAAGGAAAAGGGAAAATTTATAGCTCAAGGTCTCTGCAGTTCTGCTTGGATCTGAGACACAGTACCAGTATAATATTCATCACACAAGGGATCTGGCTAGAACTGGTCATTAAAGGATTTTGTGTGTTTCAGTGACTTCATTTCTGTGAAATGAGAAGTGGATTATTCCAGTGGGAATAGTTCTGTGGAATTTAAGTTTGATTATATTTCTTGGATCTAATTGTACTCTATAATTATTTTAAATATGCATAAATTTTCTAATAGCTTGGGATGTGGTTGGTCCATGTTTTTAAAAAAACCCTGTGTTTAGGTTTCTTATTTGCAGAAAAAAACCATCTATTTCTTGGATGTTTTTTTCCTTTCCAGGCCTGTTTGTCCTCCATGCTGTGGTGTCTAAAGAAAAACAAACTTGGAATTTAAAAGCATCTCTAGGATATTTTAGACTGACTGTATATGAGCGACCAAGTTCTAATGTGAATCATGGTGATAGAAAATGCAAAAATACTAATTACCCAAGATATTTTGTTTGTTCTGTATTTTAATCAAGTTCAGGATATAGTCAAGGGTATTCCTTCTGAACTACTCCTGCCAAAATTTGAGCTTAC